TGAAAGAATAGTAGTTCCCAATGGGAACGATCTTTACAATGATTTATTAAAGTGATATAATTGACAGACAGACAGAACAATTGTATTAGTTTTAATCATCAATATCAATATATTTCAATCATTATTCGTATATTCACAATTGAAATTTAGATATTTCGATTTATTGTAAGAATAAATTATATTTAGTTTAAAACAAAAATTATCCAAAATATTTCTTTCTTCTTAGCTGTTAAATTACAAGTAATTGTATCAATTTATTTTCTACATAGAAGAACAAGAAAAAACATAATTAGTATCTGACTTGTTGATTTACATGAATGGAAAAGCAAAAATACAATGATGATAACAGATAAATAAATTTGCATGATAAGATTTTCAGTAGAAAACAAAATTTTTCTTTCTTTATGATTAACTTTATAATTTAATATCCATCTCATAAGGTTAATAAAGATTGTTAATTAAATTCAAGTTAAAAAATTTTTACAACATGCAATGATTAAACTATATCATGTCTTTTCATTTTTGTCCTCTTTCTTTTATTCTAAACTATAAAAGCATATTATTATAGAACTGAATAAAAGGACTATGTTTAGTCTTATGCTGCTATTGTATACATCATACATCTCTTTTTCTGTCTATAGTGGACAATTGATTTATTGTTGATAAGAAGAATGACTATGTTGACCAAAATTTAGCACAAAGTACAGGACGCAAGAATTCGTCCTGCGGTCTTATCTATTTCACTGTGAGCTAAATGAACTGTTGACTAAAAGTTTATGGTTGATCTATTTTAGTTAAATCGAATAAAATATATTCGATATTAAATTGAAAATCAAGATACATCGGCGAATGATAATAATGGTTACAAGTTTACTGTAAAAAAAACTCTACTAGCTCACTTTATATTTAATCCTTTGTCGGCAAAGCCCGTAAATTTATGTTTTTAAAATTTAGATAGAGAGAGAAACCGAAATATAATAAAATACACTTTTTCAATTTTTGCTGTATTATGACATATAGATATCAAAGGTATACCATGTTAACAATAGATTGTTACTTTATTTGTTCTCAAAATAAGTTCGTCGTCAAACAGTTAATTATGATTGTTAACAGTTGTAAACCAATAACTGATATATCAATAATTTTATAAAAGTCACCATGAAACATTTCAGTTCTCATATGGCATAGTGCTAGATCAATTAAATTGATTTCAGCTCTTTTAACAAAGTAGAAAAAAAACACAATTCTTTGTAGTGCAATTAGTTATATCATAAAATGAACTTTTTATAATCCAGAACAATTAGATGAAATCTTCGTGAAAGATAACTGACTATTTGATATCTATTTTATAGAATAGAAAATAATAATAGGAATGTCATCTGTTCAACAAGATATTCTGCAATCTCTGCGGCAGGACAGGACTGCAAGTGATGTGTCTTGTACGGACCTCTATTGTCGATTGATTTAGTGTATTGTAGAGCTACGAAAGTAGTAACTGTACATAGAGAAATTGTTATGATTTTCTTTTTGAAGAATTTTGCCTACATATGAATTGAGTTTCAAATAATATTCCGATCAATTCAATAAAAAAAAGAAACGATCAGTCAATTATTCTCCTCATATTTAATTATTGTTCGACTTTGTTCTAAATATTCCAACAAAGACAGAGTGAAACTTCGATGATTTTTTTTTCTTTTTTGAACTGTTCTCTCTCGGGATCTATTCAACCATCTTCATAGGTAGAGACCTGGTTCTTTCAGTGTTAGAAAATTACCAAGATCAAGTTTGTTTTAGCTCAGTTAAAGCGAAAACGATTTTTCTCCATGGGACATAACTTTGAGGCATTTCCAGTATTTTGCATTTTCTGACCAAACAGTTTTACTGAAAAAAGTTGAAACGTATACCATTCGATACAGAATTTTATGCTCTATATTTTGAAAAAAAAAATTTTAAACCGCTATCAATCCATAGTTTTTAAATTTAGTGTTTGTCAGTTCCAAGAACTAATGGCATTTCAAAATGAAGAATGCAAATAATCTCAACATTAACTAGTGCTTCCGAAAGAGCATCAAAAACTGACCAAAATCATGTAGTTTTCATGCAAAAAACCTGCGTTTGAGAATGAATTTTGAAGAGTTTTCCTCTTTTGATGACTCATTGATATTCGAATTTAAATTTTTTTCCTATGAAAAAATAAATTTAAAATCGTCAATCCATATGAATTTTGTAGAGAATTGAATTTTCTACAAAATGAGGCCTTCTACACTTCTCTACGAGGCCTACAAAAATTGTTATGTTCAAAATACTTTTAGTATAAAAATGTAAGCAAAATACGACGAATACAATAAATGGCACCTTTTTGCTGATCTATTTATCGAAATTTAATCTTGTATGCTAAAAGTATTTTGAACATAACAAGTTTTGTAGGCATTATAGAGAAGTGCGAAAGGTCTCATTTTGTTGAGAATTTAATTCTTTACAAAATTCATATGGATTGACAATTTTAAATTTTTTTTTTTCACAAGAAAAATATTTAAATTCGAGTATCGATGAGTTATCAAAAGAGGAAAACTCTTCAAAATTCATTCTCAAACGCAGGCTTTTTACATGAAAACTACATGATTTTGGTCAGTTTTTGATGCTCTTTCTGAAGCATTAGTTAGTGTTGAGATTATTTGCATTCTTCATTTTGAAATGCCATTAGTTTTGGGGATTAACAAATGATAAATTTATAAACTATGGATCGATAGTGGATTTAAAACTTTTTCGTTCAAAATATAGAGCATAAAATTCTGTGTCGAATGGTATACGTTTCAACTTTTTTCAGTAAAACTGTTTGGTCAGAAAATGCAAAATACTGGAAATGCCTCAAAATTATGTCCCATAGAGAAAAATTGTTTTCCCTATAACTGAACTAAGACAGACTTGATCTTGGCAATTTTTTTCAGTTAACATATTAGTTAACAAGACCTTTGTAACGCTGAAAGAATCAGATCTCTACCTATAAAGACAGCTGAATTATAGCAAGAACAAAAAGCTATTAAATTTATGTCGACTACTTTACGTCAATATGGATAATTTATCAACTTGTAGAATGCTTTTGAGACAGCTGATGACATGTTGTTGTTGACGTACACAACGTGGCTTCATTGAATACGCAAAATAAAATGCAAATAGATTGATGATATATTGTTTATTAATATTCGATAATGACAGAAAAAGAACAAACCTTATCAAATTACACGAGTAGACGACAGTAATACTTATTTACATCGCTTTTTTCTTTAATACGTGTCTCACTGTATGATTTTATTTTTTTCTTCATAATAATTGCAGACTATAGAAGAGGAAACCTTGATAGGAGCTAGTTAGTTTTTAGCCCAACAAAGTTATCGAAATGGTTGTTTTTTTAATATTTAAATGAGTTCGAAGAGTTCTGTGACGAGTCGGTGACAGGAACCATTGATGAGTCATTTTCACTGATTGATGTCTTGTCAAATTTTGATAGTATTCTAGAGAAATAGCACAATCCTTATGAGATTAAAATGTGAAACACGATGTAGTAGTTGTTGACAATCGCCTAAAAATTAGTCTTTTTAATGTATATTGAGACATATGTCTTCATTGCTTACTTTACAGTATAGAGCTTCAACAAGAAAATACTCCATATATGTTTCAATTAGATGTTAGTTATACATGATCTTCGATATTCCTTTGAAGCCGTCTATCATGATCTGTGACGATCCCTGGAGTCTGTCTGTCACGGTTTGTGAGGTGCAAATTTCTATCCTATATATTTCAACACTCATTTCAGATTGTGTTTCACAAAAAGATTGGTTCTGTATTATTAAAATCGTTTGTAGAAAATATATCGACAATTCAAAAGCACTGAGGTGTCACTTTCTGATTAGTCACAAGAGTTTATTTACATAAGGAGTTTACTTATTCATAAGGAAGAGAAAGATTAGTTCAACAAATGAATATAAAACAGATTTGAGTGTACTAATAATCGCCGTTGTTCAAACTGCTAGATATAAGAAAACTAGTAATAAAAAATTATTGCGTCTCTTAATTGAGATTCTATGTCTTTTTCATTAGTTGATGATTTCTTCTTTTTGCTAATTCTAGTAGAACTCTAACTGATCTAATCTAGCTTGAAGTGACACTCCTAAAATCAAAATCGTTCTGTAATAATTCATTTTAAAAGATCAATTTTTCGTAATTTAATCAGAAGATCTGCCATTGCTTCGTTGATGACTATTTATAAGTTATACAATGAACATTACAAATAAATCTCTTATCGCAATACAAAATCTTGAGATTTTTATTATTTCGACGCATACAAAATTTTAATATATTCTCCAAAACAATTTCAAGATAGATTAAATCCCGAGTCAGGTCTACCTATGACTTCGCAAGATCGAAATTGATGTTCAATAAAGTTGATCACGTTAGATTCTAGTAATCGTTGAAAGAGTACTATCTTTCAATTTTTGAATTTAATATTCTATTGTTAAGATTAGAATATGGTTCCAATACAACAATTTTTCTCACTCATTACATAACTACTACATTTTTGGACTATCTTATTATATCTGTTGCGATACGCTTCAAGATCTTGAAGAAGAAAGTCTATTCTTTTCATAATTCTTTCTCTCCTTCATCATGATGCATCATTCTCAAACAGAGTTACTTCTATGTATATCGCAACATTTCTCTTTATCAACATACTTCTCTTGTTTTTAGTGACTCTTTGAGTTGTGTACATTGTATGCATAGTGTTTCAAGACATCGAACATAGTACGTAGATAATGTTGTTCATGAGTATAAACCTTTAAATTTTTAATTTCTTTTAGCTAGTAATACATATGACATCAACTAGATCTAAACAGCATTGTGTCAAATGCAATAAAGGTGTAGGTATTACCATGTGTGCTGGATGTCAGTTATGGTTGTGTATAAAACATTGTAATGAACATCAACAGAATTTCAGTGAAGAGATGTATTGTGTCGGCGAACAACGCGATTATCTCCACAAGAATTTAACTGAAAATAGTGTTTCACATTCATTTCTTTCTTGCATCAAAGACTGGGAAAAAACATCAATTAGAAAGATTCAAGAAGTAGCAGAAAAACCTAAAAGTGATCTAGCTTTATATATGAATGAAACAAAATCTCAAATAAAACAATCACTTAACAATATAAAGAATGAATTAGAATTAAGTCGAAAATTAGACAATTATACCGGAATAGAATGGACAGAATGGATGGAACAATTAGAAGAACTTCGACAGATGTTTGAAAAATCATCGACTATTGACATTGTTGAAGATAATCCATCACAGCCATTTATCCGTGTCATTCGACGAAAAAGTACGTAAAAATACGATGATGAGATACTCCATCATCTTTAAGCTTTCCTACGGCTGCGAGAAACATTTACTACAGTTCATGATGTATATTCAACCACATTTTGAGCTCAGAATGTATAAAAGATATTTTGTTGTGATTCAATGCAATATCGAAGCCGAGTTTTTTAGTTGAAATTGAATGAAATCATTAGTAAAAGGATATATCTCAACAATAGATCCTGTGAGAAGATACATGCAGCATGCTGACGATCTATTGCTTCCATCGAGGGACAACAATTACTAATGAGATTGGACAGATTCGAATCCAAAGTAGTCACTCAACTCCTAAGATACCGATAAAAATCGATCGATAGAACTGGAAATGTACGTTCTCGAGAACGGAAAGCATGAAGTGACAAAGATTTCCTACATCTTTAATATTTTCAGAATTGAGATAAACGCAGCTCGCTCAATCAATCCATCACTAGTAGTTATAGATCAGCTCCAGTAGACTGATCTATAATTTATTGAATGGCTAGTGCATCTCATTTTCACAAAAAAAGATTGAAATTTAGATGAAAGACAGCTGGATGAGCGAGGCTCAGAATGAGACCAGTAGTTATTTGTAAATGTATTCCTTATTTGATAGAGTGACAGTCGTTTTAAACATTGATTTGATAATTATCCGAAGATATATCTGATTCGACTAATCAAGGAATAAGGTAGAATATATCATAGAATAGAAAAACAAATGTTACTTTTTCTATCGAAAGTAGAAGGTATCTCTATTCATGTTGTGAAATTGTGTGGAAAAAAAAAGATTTCCATTATACATCAATCTTTCTATGATTATTGTTTAATAGATTTCGAAACAAAAAAGAAATCTAAAACAGCCATTACTTCAGCTTTATTGAAAACTGACTACAATATTGGTGATACAAGTTACACAACTCGAGAATTACTAACAAGACTGAACACAATGACGAAATCTAATAAAAAACCAGGTATGTTAATATAAAATGATAGTTAAAATAACAGCCAACAGTTCATGTACATAATAGTTTTTACTTAAACGAATCCACGAGTTGACTAATGTAAAAGTTTAAAATGATTTTTAACAGATAAATCGATATGTAGCGTATTCATATGTGCAATCGATTGTTGAATAAAATCTTCTCATATAAACTCTATTTATCCATGTAGATTTTGTTAAAGTTCATTTATTCATTCTATCAATCAACAGTTCGATTGCTGTGTCTAAGATTAAATTTGGATTTTTTATATTTTCCCTATAGAAGCTTTTAATATTTGTAGAATAAATCTTCGTAGTCAACTCTATGACGTATGAGAATCGAGTAATCTCTGACAACATAAGCAGTAGGATTATCATCTTGTCCTATTCTTTCAGTCAATATTATCTATAAATAAATGTAGATATTCTCTTCACCAAATTGCGGTAGAATTTATTTTCCCTATTAGAAAATAAATAAATTAACATTTATCTTTTCTTATTTAAATTCCTATTTCAAATTGGTAATAAAATACATCAATTTTTCCTAATCATAACCAAATAATTTATGGAACTGTAGTCACTTTTTACATTGCACAAAAACTTCTTTGCCACACATGTGTAACGGTTTGATTTAGTTTTGAAAAAACGCGAAATGATCCAGCAGATGATAGCATTATTCTATTATAGACCTAAACGAGATTATTGTCGATTATGTCTATAGTAATATAAACAATGGCTTATACGTATCAGTGATTATGAAAATAGAATTATAGCACCGTATTTCCATTGTTGAAAAATATTATAATGAATATCTATGACCAAAACAATGACTTTTTTCTTCTGAACATTAGACACTTAATCTTTTACTTCCCATTACGATTTCAAAGAACTTATTGATAAAACAATCATATAAATAGAATATTGTCTTATCCTTATGCTAAGGGTATAGTTGGTATGACCAGACGCATTTAACTTTATGTGAAATATTTTCATTACTCGAGTGATCATTGAAGTCTAATTTTATCCACGTGGGTTCGCAATGTGATCGAAATTTTGGTTTAGCTCTAATGTAGAAAAAATTTGGCTTCTTAATCATCTACACTAGAGCTTCAATAAGTTTATTGTAACTCATTGCTTTAGAATCGCTTTCATTCTTCATGAGTTAGAAAAAAAAAACAGTACCTGGGCAATTTGCTATGATGTATCACGTAGTTGGTGAACGAAAATGAAATCTACTATCTTTAAAAAAATGATGTTATTTTCAACGACAGGAATTCGATCTTTATAAAAAAACTTGTAAATACAGTGAGTGTTATGAAGAGTACGATTCTTTTCGTTTTGAGAATTGTCAATTCATTGTTTAAAATCATGCAAAAAGTAACTGTTCCTCACTAGCTCTAAGTTTAATCTCATCATGGTCGAAGATTCCAATCGCATTTCAGTGTGATTTTCGAACTATATTCTTGAATTTTGTGTAAAATATGAACGTTTGTAAGCAAAGATTACTAAATTGTATAATTTTTAACAACTATACATATCTTTAAATGAGCTCAAGATTCCGAAAATTAGACTCGGTGATTATAAAATGGTCAAAATGGTTTACAAACAAATCGATATGCATTCCATTGGCCATTTTACCATTTTTCATTTGATAGGATAGCTCAGGAATTTACCAAGCCCAGTCTTGACGACATCTATTGTTCTTCAGTGGATTTACAGTGCACTTAAGAAATCAAAGCGTAATGGAAATGATATGCTTTATGTCGAAATAGGCAAAATAACCCACAGAGAGATGATGACGGATATCAGACCAATGAAAATTTCGATGATGAAACGGATATTTTAATCCATGCTTTTGACAACGTACCGATGCCTATTGAATTGTATTTCATGATGCAAAATTATTTTGTTCTCATTCAAGGAATCGCGTGAATATCACCATGTTTTTCCATCTAGAAGAAAACAGTTTATGAAGTGACAGTCACATAAGAAAATCTCATCTCTTACGTGCTCTGTTCACAAATTTTATGCCATTTCTATTATTTGTTTTTCACCATGTAAATTGCTTATCTGTAATGCCCAATACATCGATTTTCCAAATATTGATTTCAAGTGAATACGAGCATCGTATCATTGTAATCTGAAGTCTGATATATAGATATTTGAGCAAAGTGGTAAGTGTAGGTTGAGTGCCCGCAACACCTATTCGGCACCTTCAACACATATCCGACACTTTTAGCACATTTTACTATGAACATCTTCAGCACTTTTACAGCACCTCCCCAATACATTGAGCGCTTTTCCAGCATCTTGCAGTAAAATTTAGTGCCTAGGTGCTGCGTACTAAATTTTACCGAAAGATGCTGAAAAAGCGCTCAAGGTGTTGGGAGGTGCTGTAAAGATGCTGAAAGTGCTCATAGTAAAATGTGCTAAAGGTGCCGAGTAGGTGCTGAGGGTGCCGAACAGGTGCTGCGGACATCCAACTTGCACTCACTCCTTTGCGTTTGAGCCATTTGCGCATGCATATCTATATTTAACGGGTCACATTGAAGTAGATAAGCCATAATCATAGTATTCTATGAAGAGCGTTATGTACAAACCATGAAAAAATGTGGTGACTTTCTATGTGGAAGTTAGCCTGATCTTTGAGGATAAAAATACTGTCAATCCCATCAGTAAGAGGTTGCAGTACGAAGCACGATAGAGCCGATTTAATCATAAATGGAAGTCTATGCCATATCGGTTACATTCTCTGAATGGATCATAAGAGTAGCACATCGAGATGTCTATCATTGGTAGGCTATGATGTGCGTCCCAAAGTCGAATCCTAACAAGTAAAAGTGAAGTTTTTTCTGTTTACGAATTTATGTGGTCGAAGATATTCAATATCTAAAGACAGATTTCAAAGGTGGTATTTATCAGACTGTATGACAGACTAGAAGATATTGGTTTGTCTTGTTATATATTTCAACTATCATTACTAATTCTGTTTCACAGATAAGAAGAAATAAAGTTTATTCTAAAATTACTTTGAATATTTATAACTTTCATTTAGTAAATCAACAATTCGCCGCACCAGGTGTTCACAAGCAACTGCTTTAAAACTATTCGTTTCTCATGTGATCATTCATTAACACAATATCTTAAAGCGTTTACTCAATTATCAAAAACAAAAGTGAACAGAACTCTTGTTATAAGTATTCATTTACTCTATGATTTTTTAATAGTTAATTGTAACAGAGTGCTTTCACTTGAACGAAGGAACATAAGTGACCAGCATGTTAAGGGTCGTTCTGTTCAGTCGCTTTTTATCTGAACTAGCAGTCGTTTAAGAACTTCTTAATTTGCTATGAAAAAGCAAGGTAAGCGAACATCTCTGTCATAATCATTATTCAGTTATTAGAAAATTTCAATCATCAGACCAGCTATAACAATGTCTTCCATCGTAAACAGGTTTTGGGAGTACAACACTTGTGCCAATTGTAGCAAATGCCGTTATGAACATTCATTTTTCATAGCATCTTGAATCTATGAACAAACTGAAAATCTTAGCTTTGAAGTTGAAAAGAGATAAGTGAACAGAGCACTGATTGAACTAATTCATTTGATTGGCCATATTGTTTATGCTTAGCAACTCGGTCGTTGCACTTTGCAATGAATGAAATACATGAATGTAAGTGTTGGTATTATTCAAGTCATTCATTTGGCATGCGAACATCGATGAGTTACTGAATGGAAATAGTAAGTTTAATGCAGACATAATAGATCCACATAGCCTGCTGGCAATGACGATCATCCATACAACTGATGACTCTCTATGAGTTTATGTTTCTGGAATATTTGGTTTTGTGTGTATAAAATAGATGAATAATATTATGCGAAAAATTGGGCATGGATGATGATAAAGCTTTTGTGGCATGATCACCGAATATCTTTGTCAATCGAAAATTTTGCATGGAAATGAGTAAAATAGATGAACATAACACCAGAAATAAGAATATTTCTTTTTTCATTTGGACTTTGATTCTATTAGTGATTCCCAATCTTGGTTTTAAAGTGTATGAAATTGGTGAATATGACCATTGCAAGAATTATGATCAATCATTCATTGTGTCATCTTTCAAAAGAGCATATTCTTCAGGTTTTTGTTTCCATGTTTGTAATATCATTGAATAGAAGCATTGGAGAGACAATGATCACGATGATTCCTCTTCTATGTGATCTTTTGATCAGCAGGTAACATTGCATGCTTTCATTCAAAATGAGGTGACAAGATAAATAAATAGCTTTGTTGGAAGCGTTATGTTGATTCTTTAATTTTACAATCTTCGGCTAGCACATCGATTTGCAATATTTATTTGGAGATACACTAAGATAACTGAATAAATTCCTTGGAAAATAAATGTTGATTTATCATGAGAGTTTTGAATTTAACACAACTTTGACGTTTCAGTACAATGTATATAGGGAAAGAGAACCAACTTCCAATGACACATATTCATTACTTACATGATCGTTGATCAATGTCAATAACACTTAGTTGTCCTTTTACAAGGAGATAGATTAATGAACGCAACAATGGTAAACATTGCGAGCGTTTCAAACGTTATCGTCATTCATTGGCCATCTCATAATAGATGAACTACAATCAATGTATGTGCTCCGGCTCAAAATTCATGTCATAAGTGAATAGAACTTTCGTTACACGTGTTTATTTCACATATGATGACGTATTAGTTAGACAAGTTCTAATATTTGTTTCAAATCGATGAAAATAAACGAACATAATATTCATTGTACTCATCCGTTTGTCACTTGCAACATGCGCTAGTGTTTATAGCGAAAACTCTGCTTCGAAATTGCTGTGATCGATGAACGGATGTTTGGTGCAACATGTACTCTTGGTCATGGTCATCTTCATTGCTTGTGTGAAGATAACATTAGAGCTTAGGAATGAATTGTTAAAAATAAAGTGTTCTGTCAATGGGTGAGAAAAGCGAAACATATGAGAAGATGTGTACTTTGCTTATTGAGCCATACTGTAAGGATCTGCACGATAGTGTCAAGGAACCAAAAGTTCTTTTCACCGACTGAGGAGACATATCATTACGTTCCGGGAGGTAGGCAGAAGGTCTCTGCTCCTTCACGCTACTGTGACCTTGGTGGAGGAAATGTTAGCTGTTTGACTACTGTATAAGCTTGTCTCTTTTGCTCATTATGTTGAAGATTTCGGAAAATCGTGGAAGGCTATGAAAAGAAAATGGAAGAAGTAGGAATGGGGGAAGTGTAGTATTCGGTCGGTGAGGAAACTTATTATTTCAGCTTTCGTTATAGATTGGTACAGCAATGCTATGTTTTCTTTCAGTTTACAATTATTGATCGACCAAGATTTACGTTTCTGTGGAAGACAATCGGATTGTTAAAAAGAGGTGATAGTCGAACTTTCTGATGGTATCTGTGAAGCATTTAATGCATGCTTGACATATTCAGTCCTCTAGAAGTATCAATGTATTTAGATGAATGGTACTTGTGAATGAAGCACCTAACTAGTTTAAGTAACTAAGAGCATATATATATATATATCATTGAGTAACTTAAAACATATGAATTTAAAGTTGTGCACTGGAAATGTATGTCGGTGTGATTGTCGCTGTATAGGTTCGGTGTTGGTAAATGTGATGGTAGATGTAGATGCTGTTAGGTGTATGTTGGATACGTGTGAGTGGGAGTGGTGGCGAACTGGAGACTCACACCCACATCCTCAATCCTAGTGAATATAGTGAATCCAAAGTATCCGTGTAGTGGGTCAATGGCAAGAAGAATATTTTTTCAGGTACTCTCCAAAAAGCTGTCTCAATACCTGGATACTTACCAAGTACCTAGCCAGATGCCGGTCCAGTTTCTTTAGCATTCTATGAAAAAGTTTTCTACAAGTTGGTAGATTGAACATTCAGAAGCATTTGATAGTCAACTGCTAAGAATTCATAAAGTACCCTAAGGTTCCTGTAATATATTGATAGCAAGATAACCTGAACTCATGGCATTCACTAAGAAAAACTATCACGAAAATCTCATCCAGAGAAGGTATAAATGACAGAAAAAAAACTGTTTTGCTTAGCGCAAACATCAATTTTGGTTTATGCAAATATTTGCTCACAGCTAATCAACCGTAAGTCAGTAAAAAGTTTTGAAAATACATTTGGAAATACTACCAAGTTCTGATTGGAATCAGCTGATTTTGATGCTCCTCAATAACATCTAAATAATCTAAATATCAAAAAATAGACGATATTGATCTTCAATGTTCATATGCAGCAATATTAATATAAATTTGATTCTATTTCTAATGAACTTTCTTCTATTCTATTTCAATCGTAATACACTAGACACATTTGATATATTGTGGCATAAAGTTAATTATGTACTATCTCTTCAGCATGGTATTCTTCAATGAATTAAAATAGTATAATAAAAACTTGATTTAATGTCATTAATTAACATTCTAGCATATTTTTTTTTCTTCATTCTTTTCATATATTCAACAAATAAAGAATAGTTCGGCATGAAAATCAATTCTTTATGAACTCTTGTTTTTCTGTACAATTAAAATTTCTGGTGGTGCCCTCTTATGTTTGTTGATTTGGATTGGAAAAAAGACAATTACCAATCTTCTGCTTTTGACTGTTTTTTGGGAAGGATATTTTTCTTCTTCCTTTTTTCTTCTGACTCGCAATCATTGATAAAAAAAAAAAGAGTTAATTTGAATAATTTGTTCTCGTTCTCAATATCTGTTTTAGATTAAATCAATTTTTTGTTCTTATTCGAAAAGAAAAAAACGTACAGGTGTTATTTTCAATCGTTCTCATCTTGTAGACATTTCGTCTAAAATGCCGCTTAGTTCGTTATTGGCATCTCGTTCAAAAACTGATCATGTTAAACAATTAAAAGAATTCTTTACTGTAATTGAAAATGAACAAGATAAAGAAAAGAAAAATTATGAAGAAGTAAAATTTTAAAATAAATTGTTTTGTTTTTTTTTTTTATTATTGATTTTCTTTATTTTTTTATTTAGGCAATGAAAAATATTCATAAAGCATTACTTGCATTAAAAGATAGTCTATTTGGTGCACATGATAATAATAATGAACCAGCAATTACTGATATTTCACAGTTACGTAGTGGAATTTATTTACAAGGTCTTATTATAACAATGATAAATAATTTAGGTCGAGTTTCATTTGAAGATCGAAAAGAAATAGTTGCAATATTTAATAATCTTTTACGACGACAAGTTGGAACAAAATATCCAGCTGTTGATCATATTATACAAGGACCTGGAATTTTATTTAAATTAATCGAAGGGTAATTTAATGAAAAAGAAATAATTTATTTTTTATAATTATATATATATCATTTATAGATATGAAAATGCAGATATTGCACTTTATTGTGGAATGATGTTACGTGAATGTATACGTGTTCAAGAATTAGCAGATATTATTTTGAGATCATCAGAATTTTATAAATTTTTTGATTATGTACAAAAATCAACATTCGATATTGCTAGTGATGCTTTTGCTACTTTCAAAGTTCGTATTCAATCATTTGTTTTTGTTCATTTGCAAAAAAACAAAATATCCATAATAGATCTTTGTTTAATAGTACAGAAAATAAAAATAATATTGTTGTAATTGAATGGATTGTTTTTTCTAGAAGTTTAAAAGAGATGTGAGAATAAAGTTCGTTCTTTGTCTGAAGATTTTCATTAAAATCTTTACTGTCTTCATTCCTACTTGTGAAAATTAGACTCAATTGAAATTTATTATAGACCATCGAAATGAAGTAAATTCAATTCATTTTCACTATCGTCAATAGATTGTTGGTTGGAGAACAACTATCGGTAGAATGGCAGTGAGAAGATAGTCGACTGTTTAAGCTTTTCCTTTAAAAATCATTCTTGAGTCAGATACATTCAAATCGTGTGCAATTTTCAGACCTATACCATGATGTGTTCGGAAGATATTCAACAAACAAAGGTCAAAAAGTAGTTCATTTGGCAATCTGAAATTCTCTGCGGATCTTCATTGTATATACTTCATTTTTTTTATTAGAAAGAGAATGACAGAGTTCTTTTTTTAAATTCTTACTTTTTAAGGGGAGAAAAGTTCAATGTCTCGAAAAATGACGTTCTAATCATGAAAGTGCTCTTGTATATAATAATAACAAAGCTTAATTCAAAAAACGAGCTCTTTCAT